GGTCCACACTGGAAGGTGATTGCATCAACTATGCTAAAAAATGTCATAAATGTCAGATTTACGGAGATAAAATAAATGTTCCACCTCATCCGCTTCATGTCATGACATCACCATGGCCTTTCTCCATGTGGGGCATGGATGTTATTGGGCAAATCCATCCGAAGGCTTCGAATGGTCATCGTTTCATCCTTGTAGCCATCGATTATTTCACCAAGTGGGTAGAAGCTGCTTCCTATGTCAGTGTCACTCAATCTGTTATTTGTAAGTTTTTGAAGAAAGAGATCATATGTCGGTATGGTTTACCTGAAAGAATCATTACCGATAATTCTACAAACTTGAACAACAACATGATAAAGGCTGCTTGTGAGCAATTCAACATAAAGCATCACAATTCTACTACCTACAGACCAAAGATGAATTGTGCAGTAGAAGCAGCAAACAAGAACATTAAAAAGATAGTGGAAAAAATGACCGAGACCTACAAAGACTGGCACGAGAAGCTGTCATTCACTTTGTTTGCTTACCGAACCTCGGTACGAACCTCGACTGGGGCAACTCCATTTTCACTGGCATATGGAATGGAAGCAATGCTGCCCATTGAAGTGAAAATCCCATCATTACGGGTCTTGACAGAAGTCAAACTGGATGACGCGGAATGGGCTCAATCCAGATATGATCAGCTAAATTTAATAGATGAGAAGAGACTGAAGGCCATTCGTCATGGCCAAATCTATCAAAAACGAATGATTCGAGCACATGACAAGAAGGTACGCCCGAGAACATTCCGAGAAGGAGATCTGGTGCTAAAGAGAATTTTGCCAGTTCAGAAAGATTTCCGAGGAAAATGGACGCCAAATTGGGAAGGACCCTATGTTGTGAAAAAGGCCTTTTCTGGAGGAGCCCTTGTCCTGGCCGAAATGGACGGACCTGACCTACCACATCCCATCAATTCGGATGCAATCAAGAAATACTTCTCTTAGGATGAAAACCCGAAGGGGCGTCCTAAGTAAAAAAATAAAAAACGTTTAGGGTGAAAACCCGAAAGGGCGCCCTAAATTGAAAAAAATCGAAAAAAGAAAAAAAAACAAGAGAAAAAGAAAAAGAACAAAAAGGTGGGTTCAAGATGAAAACCCGCAAAGGGTGTCTTGCAACCAAGGATGGGTCCGAATTGAAAACCCGAAAGGGTAATTTGGATAATTCAAAGAAATCCAGACAGTTGAAACTTCCCGGCATCTGAATTTTCTGCAGACTCAACGAGTCGGAGAAGGGTTGCACTCTCCTGAAGGTCGTCACATTTTTACAGATCCTTTGGCAAAGGCTGTATTCAAGGTCACCCAACGGCTTTTCAGCTCAGAAGTGACCACATTATTGAAATCTAAGACACTCGTTTATACCTCATTATGTCTTCACCCTCCAAAATGTTTGTCATGTATTATTTGTTCTTTTTCCCTTGTGAATAAAAGACAATTCTTTTCTCTACACCAATTCCTTTTTAGCATCTTGGATTGAGCTTAAACTTAGTGATTTATTTATTTGTGCAAAAGATATTCGTATATTACTGTACAAAGGTTCATTGAAAAGTACAGGTACTCGGAAGCCGATCAAGGCTCATGCATTTAATTGAGATGGTCGAGAAGCATTTCCCAGATCAAAGATAAAAAAACGAATATCAGATTGGAACATTTGAAGAATCCAAGATCATGGATTGAAACCTCATGACTCCATAATCAAGATTTCTAGACAGGCCTTAGCTAGAGTCAAAATCAACTTCGCAACGAAGGATATCTAGCTCGAAGCCAAACATCCACGATTTCAACTCCACGATGGAGGATATCGTGCCACTCAAGACAACACAAGTTCAACTTCACAACGAAGGGACGGCTGGTTGTCAACAACAATTTCCTAGTTTCAGGGCCAATTTCAACTTCACAGCGAAGGATATTGGACCCAAGACAGCACAAGCTCAACTTCACAGCGAAGGGGCGGCTGACTGTCAACAAACAATTTCGGAGCCAATCTCAACTTCACAACGAAGGATATTGGACTCGAGACAACACAAGTTCAACTTCACAATGAAGGGACGGTTGGTTGTCAACAACAATTTCCCAGTTCCAGGGCCAGTTTCAACTTCACAGCGAAGGATATTGGACCCAAGACAGCACAAGCTCAACTTCGCAGCGAAGGGGCGGCTGACTGTCAATAAACAATTTCCCGGTTCCAGAACCAATCTCAACTTCACAGCAGAGGATATTGGACTCAGAACAATACTACTTACTTGGATTTAAACTTCACTACGAAGGATATCCAATTCTCAGGTTCAACTTCATGGCGAAGGGACCATATATAAATTCCAACTTCACAAACAGATTGACCCGACTTCACGACGAAGGAGTCATCTGTAACACAGCGACACCAAAGTCCTCAGGTCAAGTTCCATCTTCACGACGAAACATCTTGAGCCAGAAGACGACTTAACTTTGAGCTAGGTTTCAGCTTCGCACCGAAGGATACCGCGCTCAGAATCTTCCAGTTCGACTCAACCTCACGACGAGGGAGTTATTTCAGGATTCAATCCAAATCCACAAATCAGTCTTAACACCGGATTTCAATTCTACAATAGAGGATATTCGATGTGACTGAAATTTGTGTCTTTTAATCTTTGCTCTATTTTCGTTACACGCTAATGAGCAAAGAGGGGCAGCTGTAGACACATGAATTTCATATTACAAGGCCTACATGTTGGCCCAACAATGGATTAACAAGCCAAGCCCAAATCCCATACAGAACCGGTTCCACGTAGGGTTGTTTGAAACCCTAATCTCCTATCTCATTCAGCCGCGTCGCATCACCCATCCCAGCCGAGGACTCCCTGCCGTGCACGCCTCTCCAACAATCCTAGAAACGTCCGGCAACCGAGACTCATGTTCATCACCAACAACCCAACATTAGACTTCTATTAGGATTCAAAATGTAATCTAAAAACATGCTTTTCTTTTATTATAAATAAGTGTAAAGCAACACCATTGGGGGACATTCGGATTACATGAAATAAAAGCAGAAATTCCAAGCAAAATTAGAGCAAGACCGGAACGTTTTTGAGAAGAACAAAAGGTAAAGCTTGTACCTTTTTTTCGTTTTGATACTTGCAGGCGTTCGTTTTGTTATTCTTGATTCGGAAAACCACCAAAGGAAACATTTTGGCCGATGAACATAAGGGGTAAACCGAAGATCTTCTCCCTTAGATCCACGGTTCCCCGAGGCCCGATTTAGAAAAGACTTTGATTTTTGAAACGAGGGTAAAACGATCTTTCGAATGGCCAAAAAAAAGGTTTTGTCGCCGTTGAACGGCGGCGGCGAGGCGGTGCTAAGGTGGCCAGAATCTGGGTTCATGCGAGAACCCAGCCATGTTCTTATTTTTAAAGAACAAACGAGAGAAATGTTGAGAGAGAGGGAGTGACTCGGCTAGGGAAGAAGAGAAAATGAATTTTTAAACAAATTTTTGGCTTTTATACACAACCCATACCCGACCAGTTAACCCGCGTGTTGACCCGACCCAATCTTCTGACCCGTATGTTTTTACGTATTTAAGGGTAAATCCCTTTTTGGACCCCTATTGTTTTAATTCTTCCATTATCGCCCTAACCTCTCTTAAAATTGATCCCCAACTCTGTATTCATTCAATTCGATCCCCATGTTTTTTTTATTTCTTAATTTAAATGTTGTTTATTAGCATTTATATTTAATTATATAGTTTTATTATTTATTTTCTTATTTATTTTTTTTCTTGATCTATACCATTCGGTATTTTAATATATATACATGTTTATATTCTATATTACTACTATATTTTATTATTATCTATATGTACTTTTAATATTTTATTACTATATACTTTAGTTATTTGTCACTTGATTATTTTTATTATTTTTATTATTTTTATAAGTCATTATATATTTGTATATTTATAACTAATATCATTTTTTTTTCTAAACTACTTATGTATATAAAATATATTATTATTATTTCTTTGCTTTTCTTCTTTATCTTATCTATTTATTTATTCACTTTTCCCTTTTTTATTTCCTTTATCTTTGATCTATTTGCTTATGTTTATTTATTTATTTATGTATATATTGTCTTTGCTCTTTTTATCTTGTTTTATTCTTTTTCCTCTTTATTTTATTTTCTTTATGTTATTCGTTTTATTCACTCTGACACATTCACTTTTAAAGGGTACAACTTTCGAATCAATCTACGGTAAGTAATTCGGAACGATATTTTACCTTCTAATTTAAACTTATATCTTTCTTAATTAAGACAACTGGCAATTATAGAGTACCGAAAGGGCAGTTCAAGGGTGCTAACCCTTCCTTGACTGTAATCGACTCCCGAATCCAACATATCTTTGGTAAGACGCAGATCATGTAAGAAATAAGGTACCCGATTAACCTATTTATTTTTAAATAAATAATCGGTGGCGACTCCAATCCATATTTTTCAAGTCGAAGCCCAATTCTGGGGCCCAACCGAAAGACGGTTGCTACAAATATATATATATATATAGATATATAATTTTAAGATAAATACAAAGTAGCATTTATTCAAAGACTTTCAACCTTTTAACTCATACTTATGCATACATAGGGATGACAACAAATTAAAGATATTAAAATTATTTGCAAGGAAAATACACAATCAGCAAAAAAGTAAGAAATTAATCTCAAACACTTATTTTTACTCATCTAACAATTTTAAATCTATATAAAATTAAATAAGTTTTACATTATTTAAGTAGATCCATAATTAAATAAATAATAATTTTACAAATAATATTACGATATTATCATCTCTTTTTTATAATTTTATTTTTAAAAATATATTTTAAAAATATATGGTATCATTTGAACAGTCATTATTAAAATACTTTTTTCTATAATAATGTATCAAATAAAAATATTTTATATAAATTATAAAAATCTATATACCAACAAATAAAAGGCCAAGAAAAGAAAGCAAAACGCGTATTTTCTATGGTTTTGTTTACCTAAGCAAATCCTCTTTACACCCACAAAACACGAGGCACGCATCTCAGCTCATCATCAACAACAACACTCTCATCAATATATATATATATATAAGCTTTGAATTCAACTGTGGAAATCTTTAAATTCCTAAAGCCCTGTGTACTTGCTGAAAACCAAGAGCAATCTTTAGACCCTTCAAAGAAAAAGAAAGAAAGAAGAGAATTAACAGCCAAGCAACCCGAGGCAGCCAGTGAATAGATTAGATTACCCCATTTCCAAAAAAAATAAAATAAAAAATAGCCCATCCCACCTGCTTCCCCTCCCTTTATCCCAAAATTAATTTATATATCTTTCTTTATTTTTTATTTGTATTTCCGGGTTTCAATTTTTGCCCCCTTTGTCTTCTGGTTGTTGTTGTTGTTGTTGTTGTGAAATTTATTGTTTTTGTTTTATCTATCAAATCCAGAAATGGGTTCTTCTCCATCTGGTATTTTGTTCTCCTATATTGTATCTCTTTGTTTAATAAGCTGCGTTTGGGGTTCTTCTATTTGCTCGCATGAAGCTGATGTGTTCATTAATAATCTTCATTTTCAATGCTCTCCTTCGATTTCTCCAATCCCCCCTCTCAAGGTACGTTTTATTAGCTTACTTTTGTATTGTAGATTGATTTGTTAATTGGTTTAGGAAAATGGATTCTTGAGATTTAATTTCTTTTATTGGCACGCTTTTATTTTTATTTTGGGTTCTTGGTATTTATGATTTTTTCTAATTTTCTTAAAATTAGGTAAATTTCCTGGAAATTTTGGGTTTTTAGCCTGAATGATTAGGGCATATCTATGGAATTTTCATGGCTATAAAATTTTGAAGAATCAGAATAAAGGTTTATTTACATTATGGGAGTACTGGATTCTTGCAGTATAATTCAAGTTGAAGTTTGAAAAAAAATAAAATAATTAAGATAGAAATGAAGTTGCAAAATTTACTAGCCAATCATTTTTTTAATGTTAGTCAGTCCTGGTTAAGGCCTTTGAATTATTTTATTCTCTTCTGGAACATTTGACTCGAATGGCATTATTATGTATTTGAAAGCAAGAGAACCTAGTCTTTTAAGGCTACAAGAGCTTAAGATCTTCTATTTTAGGATTTAATCCTTATGCAAATTAGCTGGAAATAAGCTGGATCGGCGAAATATGTGTCAGTGTGTTCTATAGCTTTAATTGAAGATATGGGACATTAATAGTTTTTGCTTTAGTCACATACTTATAGCTCTATGGTGGCAGGATTATGTTAATTAGATTGTGGCTGGAAAAGAATCTATATCGCTAGATGACCAAGAATGTAAACTTTTTTATCTTTTGATGTTTTGATCTCCAGCTTTCTGCTACTCCAAATATACAACACAGTTAAACATCCCGATCTCTCATCAGATACTGTTGTCTTTGTGCTTTAGGTTAATGTATAGATCTACCGTACAAGTAGATCTAAGGATGGTAAGAATCCATAGGATAGACTCTTTATACTTGAATTGCTGGTTTTAGAAGATACAGGGACTCACGTGCGCGGGTGCCCACGCATAGACACATATCCATAGCTCAAATCATAATCTGTTTATCCTCTTTCTCGCCCTTTCGGACATAAAAGTAGGAGAGCTAGCAAATAATGTCTTGTTTACTAGTCAATTTATATGATATATATGATGCCCCAAAAAAGTTATAAATTTTACCCCGAAATGACTCTACATGAGATACAGGGTGTCCCTTACCTGATCAAGGATAAAAAAATATCCATGAAAATGAGTGTCCATGCAGTTCCACCCAAGTGTCTTAAGTTAACCCTCTTATACGATGCAACCAGTGTTCAATTATTTGAGTGTTATGCACCCAGCCAATGCATTATGTTGGACATAAATTGCTTGGTTGCATGCTTATGTGGCTTCTGATGTTTTAGTCAGCTAAATTCTCTTTCCAACTGAACTATTGATAACTTTACCGTTAACCTTACAGAAATAGACAATGAAAGAAGTTGATGTTGCCAGTAATACAAAAAGCAAACCAGGAATAGGATACAACTGTCTGCATTCACTACCCTTTTCTGTTACCTTCAAGGAAAATGTTTACTTTTAATTCTAGATGATTTTGTTAAAGAATACCATTGTCTTAAGCATCAACATGTATTTTTAAATATTAAGTGAATAACTAGGACTCGTAATTTCCTTGCTGAGGATCCTCTAATCATCATATTTATGGTTTGTAGATTTGCCAGCTTTCCGGTAAATTTTCTTATATCAGTGTGTCATTTAATTGTATCTCAAGGATTAATATATTGCACAACTTTCTGTTTCATGGAGGCAAACATTATATCTTTTTCGCATGTTTATAAATTTCCTTGCAGGTGAATGGGAGCTTCCTGGATCGAGCATTGACTTCCGAACAGAGAAATGGTTACACTTCTGTGCTCTTTTATGCTTCTTGGTGCCCATTTTCACGCAGTTTGTACCCAAAGTTCGACATTCTCAGTTCCATGTTTCCTCAGGTAGAGCATCTGGAAGTTGAACAGTCTTCAGCTTCACCGAGGTATGCAGCTACTTATCCTGCTTTAAGTGATGGTATTTGTGAACTAATTATCGAATTGCTGTTTCCTGTGTTCTTACAAAGTACTTATGGCTTTTGGAGTAGTTTTCTATCAATTATATATTTCTGGGGTTGTTCATCCCGCCTTTGATGGAAGATGAGATGCTCATGTGTGCTACTTAAGTAAAATACCGAATATATATAATTTTATCGTGTGATGCTTCTTTTGTACATCTTAATAACGAATCCATAACTGATACCTGAATAAGTTCTTTTATAAAGAACCTCCTTTAACTTGACATAAACTCTGTGATTATTAGTACATAATCCGGAATTATCAAGCAAATAAACTTTTGTTTTTCTTACCGTTGAAATCTAATACTAAATTTCACACTTAACACCTTTGATATGTGTCTATCACAGCATATTTTCGAAGTATGGAATTCATAGCTTGCCGTCAATTTTGATTGTGAACCAGACATCGATGGTACGATATCGTGGTTCAAAAGATCTCTCATCAATCGTACAATTTTACGAGAAAACAACAGGTATTTTCTCTCCTCTAGCTGCAGAAAATATTATATCATGAAAACTGATATTATGTACACTGTGAAGCGTGATAGAACTGTTGTTCCTTATATGTAAGCCTAGTTTGTGAGTCGAACATAATTCCGAGTTTATTAACACGAGTGTCTGCATTTCAGGATTTCAACCAGTTCAATATATTGCCGAAAGTGAACCAGTTGTATCAGGAGACGACAATAGATACATGGTACAGTTGTGGAATGAAACCCCAATGGAGATAGTAGAACGGGAGCCCTACTTAGCATTTGCCTTGCTGTTTCTGTGTTTTAGAGTACTTCTATCCATATTCCCCGAAGTAATGTCCCGTCTCAAGGATTTCTGGGTTTCATACGCCCTGCACTTGAACTTGGAAATGTTCAGTGAGACGAGCCAATTGTTTGCACGAGCCCTTCACGTGGTCGACGTGAGGACAGTTTGGACGAAACTAAGGCTATGCAAAACAAGGAATTTCCATCAAGGTGCGAAGAGCGCTCGTGTTTGGGCTTCTTCACTGGCATCAGTCTCTTTGGGCGAATCTTCCTCCGGTAGATCCTCATTGTCATCCTAAGTTGGAGCTTTTCTGGAGCTACGCTAAAATGTACGAAGGAGTGTAACGATGAGGTAGTGTATTACAAACTGCGAATATGTTTTGGGACATCGTAATCCCCGCTTTCGCTCTGTCTCTGATATTAAAATCGGATCGACACCGAAATCTGTTGACCTTGTTTGAGTTGTAGGTTCTTGGGGGGAGGAAATCAAGTAGCATGTATATTTGAGAACAGCCTTTTCTTGTGGTGTGTATACTCTTTGTTTGTTGGAACATCTCTTATATCCCTGGAATGTAAGCTTTCTTTTTCTCTTAGTTGTATGGATGGATGATCAAAATTCGACTCAAACCAAAAAATTGAATTTTTTTATTTGAAAAAACTTCTAATTTCATAAATTCGAATCGACCAGAAAAAAAATTAAATTCGAGTCAAGTTATAAAATAGAATTCAAATAACTCAATTTGAATCGATTTGAATTTCATAAACTTAACTCGACATTTTTTAAAAAAAAGTTTGAGTTATAAAATAAGATTCATCAATATGAATAATTTATAATATTTTGACTCAGATTAGATGATTATCTCTACTTAACTATTGTGTTGCATATAATCTCATTTTCTCAATAAAAACCCTACTCTCCCTTTTCATCCTACATTCTAGCACAATAATCACTAATTAAATATTATGCAAGTATTTTATTTTTAAAACTTTTTAAACTTGTATTGAAATTATATTTTAATAAATATATATCAATCTTTTAATATAACATAAATTATTTAATAAATTGGCCTTCAAACATGTATATAATATAAAACATGTAATAACCTATCATGTTTAAATTTTCAAATTCTTAACTTGTAGAGATTTGTCCATTAAGCTTAATTTAATTAATATGTTTTTATTATAGTATTTAAGAGAATATAAATTTAAACATGTTCAAATATGTAATAACTTTTTATTTGTAGATGAGATAGAATTTAAATAGTTTAAATTAAACTTACAATGGATGGCGAGACATGCATGAGTTACGTATGAACATGTACTTGCCATTTCATCACCTGTTCTGCATCATTATTTGTATTTGGATATTGTTTAATGATTTTATTTTTTGAATTTGTATTGAAATTATATTTTAATGTATTAATTAAAAAGTTGTCATGATTTATTATTATAATTATTTAAAATAATGACAGTTGAAAAAAATATCACGTGTGTAAAAATTCGAAGGATAAGTATTTTATATTTTTTTTTCATATAAGATTAATTTATATTTATTTAATTGATACTTATAGATATATTATATGAAATAGGTTGTAGGACGGATATAATGAAGATAAGGCGAGTCTTGAGACCCATGTACAGCCCCGTATGGGAATGTTTTTCCAGCCCATAAGCAATGTCAGACACCTCAAAGTTAGTCCTAAACTCATGGTTGGAAAAATATTTTTCCATCTAAACTCAAAAGTTAAAATTTCTAAAATTATATTTTTATCTTTAATTATTTAATTTACAATATCAAATATTGTGCAAGCATAATTAACTAAAATTAGGAAGTATAATTTAATATTTATTTATATGTTTATTTTCTTTTTTATTTGTTATTTCCATCATCACCCCCACGTTTCAACCTAAGCTAGGGTTTAGGTTTGGTATGAATTTTCGGCTCCTAAATTAATTGGTAATAAATTCTTGGCTTGTAATCTGCAACGTGTTGGGTTTTACATGGAAATCGACTTACAAAAGCACAAGATTTAAGTAGTAAGTAATTTGATATAATTTAAGTAAATCTCGAGTTAAAATTTTTGTGTATGTAGAAAATTTTCGTCTTAAAATTCACCCATTAAAATTAAATATGTAATATAAGTTAATCCAAATTAATCAAAATAAACCTTAAGAACCGGAGGAAAAAAACACATCTCTAATTCACACTCAAACTAGATTCCATCCTCGTTAACCTATTTTTGCTTTAGAAATTAGAATTTTAGTTTGGTTCAAGGATGAACTTGAGGTACATGATGTAGCTGAAGATTTTGTTTACGTGGTTTAGCAATTGATGCATGGCATACATAAAGAAGCTGGATTATAACTAATTTACTTACGTGTCAAGGTTGTTAGGACTATATTCTAGAAGCTGTAGGTTGTTAAATTTGTTTTCAATCTGCTATAAAAGGTGAAGTCTAGGTGATGTATAATTCACGTTTTTGTGTGAATAAAAAGTGATTTCTGATTTCAGTTTGTTTTCCAAGCTTTGCCTTCTGCAATGCTTCACAAACAGAAGGGTAATAAAGACAATTATTTCCTCTGAAAATTTAAAATTATTATATATTTCAGATATTTTAATGTAATTTTAATAGAAAATTTATTTTTATCCCACTAAAATTTTATAAGTTCATATCCTCGTAAAATTTTAGAAGCTCACTTTTTAACATAAAATTTTGCATCAATCCCTATTTTGATTGTTGCATCCCAAGTATTATGTACAACCCTAATTATGTACTTTAAAGTTAGAGTTTTGAAGATGCCCTAAGTATTGGTATTGTTTATGTAATATTGATATTATAAGAACAATATTGATGTTATTTACCCAAAAAAATGTTTTGTGTTTAAATTTTTATTTAATGGGCTTTGAATTATTTTTAAAAACTTTGAATAAATTCAATCAAGTCCAAAAACATTTTACCTTTAATTTGTTATATCAAAATATTACAAAATATTGTTCAACAATAAAAATAAGTAGGAATGGCAGAACGACCCAAACCCGACTAAGTTCGGGTCGGGTCGGGTTTAAAAAATTTCGGGTCGGGTCGGGTATCGAGTTTTTTTCGGGGATTTTTTCGGGTTCGGGTTTGGTATCGGGGCGGGGTATCCCGACCCGATTATATATATATATATAATATTTTATTATTTTATATTTTTAATATTTAAGTGATTTAACCTAGTTCTTCTTAGTTCTCTCCCGATCCTCACTTCACTCTCGTATCTGCGGCTGCTCTCTTCGTTCTCCAGAATCCAGATCCAATTTTCTCACCATCAACAAATCTTCCTTTCATCATTCATTTTCATTTACGAACTACGGTTAAATTGCGTCCGGTAACGTCAGTCCAAGTTCGGTAGCCATCTTTAGCTGCTCAAATCTTGTGTCAAGATAAAGTTGCAAACTCTCTGGTGCTGACAGGTCAGGCCTGTCCCTCTGGTCTTTATATTTATTTAGATTAGCTAAATGATTTCGTATAATCTCACACAACCTTCGGAACTCTGTTGTCCGTTTATACTGCTTGCAAAACTGGAAGGCCCTACGCGCAGTCATCTACAAGATGTTCAAAATATGGAAACATTGTCATTTCAAATCAATGCGTAACCAAGATAGTATTTGTTATATATCTTTATATTTAATTTATTAATGAAATTTTTAACTAACAAAATTCACCTATTGTAAAGTGCAGTAGGCATGTACCATAAATGTTTAAAGCGTATATGCTCCGACATGTCTTGTAAATATGTTACTCGAAGAACAATTCAACGGAGACAAGAGAATGTTATCGGAGCAATTAAACAACATGACCGTGTTACTTTTCGATATGTTGAAAGGCAAGCTCTCGTCGAGCGACAGGCCCCCTTGATCGAGATCAGACGAGTAACAAGTGTCTAGGTCAATCGAAGGAGGCTTTATAACAAGCTTATTAGCCTTGGAATTATTTAATGGGCTTTGAATTATTTTTAAAAACTTTGAATAAATTCAATCAAGTCCAAAAACATTTTACCTTTAATTTGTTATATCAAAATATTACAAAACATTGTTCAACAATAAAAATAAGTACCCAAACTATACATTTTCTCCCCAAATAGACACTTAAACTTTTTTCGGTCAATCTAAGTGTCTAACGTTACGAACGTTATCACTTTAGATGTTTGGAAAATTATAATTTCTGTCATTAAATGACATGTGTCACTTTTACAAAATTTAATATATATATATATATATTTAAAAACTTAAAACTATATATATTCTTTAAAAGAAAGCCCAAAAGTTTCTAAATCTTAAAAACACTCAAAACTTTGAAAATTCTCATTCTAATCATATATCTAAGCCTGCCGCCACCATTGGTTGTCGTTGTTATCGACTGGATCTCCAACAAAACCTCCACCTGACAGAAGTCGAACACGATGACCCAAACTAACAAACAAAACAACCCTGACAAACCAAACTTTCAAGATTCATGACACCGAAACGATCTGATAGAAAAGGTGAAGACGACAGATGAGGGAGATGCAAAGGGTGACAGCGACGGCGGCAACAATGGCCGATAATGGAGTGGGTAAGGTTAGGGTTAGGGATTTTTATTTTTTATAATTTTAGAGAAATATAGGGTTTTTAAATATAATATTTTTAAAGTTTTTTTTTAATTTCAAAATTACCATACACGTGTTACTTAAGGGGATTTTTAACGACCGTTATGACTAAGACAGTTAAAGTGATAACGTTTGTAACGTTAGACACATAAATTAATCAAAAAATATTTAGATATTTATTTAAAATATACGATATAATTTAAACACTTATTTTTATATTAATCCATGGAAAAATAATGCATAAAGGAAGATACGATACGTATGAGTCTTTCACTTTCATCTTTTGTATCTTTTTTCTCGTAAAAAACCTACCGCTCGCTATCGTTCCAAGCAAACCCTTACAAGCAACCCAAACTCTTTTCCCTTTACCTTTTATTATTATTATTATTATTATTATTCATAGAAATTAATTTATATATTTTTAAATTTTGAGATTTAAACAAAAAAAATAAGAAAACTTATTAAATTAAGTTTTATTATTAATTTATATTTTTATTTGATTAATTATATATTACTTGAATCAAAATCAAACATATAAACTATTTAAGAAATTAATAATAGAATTTAACCCTTTTTAATCTTCTTTCAAAGTGAGACTAAGTTGAAGAATAATTGCATAGTTTAAAAAAAGAGTAAAAGTATACAAATGGTCCTCCGATTATAAGATTCTATTTTGTTGAGTTCCCCGACTATTAAAAGTTACAAAATGGTCCTCTAACTATAGGGAGTTGCTTTGTTGAGTCACTCGACTATTAAAAGTTATAAAATGGTCAACCGACTATTCATTATACTCCAAACTCTTCCTTTTCATAAAAAAGTTAATAGTCATCTGAGTTGGACGTTAACATGATGACTGAGATTTGATAATCATTTGAGATTATGATATCATATTTTATCATATCTCAGTCAACAGGTTAACGTCCAGCTCAGACTACCGTTGATTTTTTAATGGAAAATGATGAGTTTGGAACATAATGAATAGTCGGGTAATCATTTTGTACCTTTTAATAGTCGATGGACTCAACAAAGTAATTTTCTATAATCGAGGGACTATTCTGTAGCTTTTAATATTTAGGGGATTCAAAAAAATAATATCATATAGTCAAGGGGCCATTGGTGTACTTTACCCTAAAAATGAAAAAAAATGTATTTAATAAAGTGCAACACATGTATTGATTTTTGCAGACTGCTGGCTTCACCCTTAACCAAAGAATTGGTATAGTGTTCAAAACTTTCAACTGTTGAAATATATATATATATATATATATATATATATATATATATAAAAAATATCCAAGAACTGGCATTAGAACAGCCCTGTAAAAGACGGTATCCTCTTGGTGGATCCCATTGGACCACTTAATTTGTCGGTCTTAAAAGGATAAGCTTATTAAGTACTCAAACTGTAATGTTATTATTTTAATAAAGGCTTAATCTTTTACACCCAAAGAGCTAGAGGACACCATTTGTGCTGCTATACAAAATGATTCACCAGGAAATGGATATTGACGAGTGGGTTTTCTTGCCTGATGACAGATTCCTCGACATCAAGCAAGATTCCGAGAAACAAATCCAGGGAGAAAAACGAGTTTCTGATACGAATCTTGTTTTCCTCGCGGATTATTTCAACAAAGAAGAGCCTCCCCCACATAAACAACTTGTCCCGGTTCCATTTCCATTAGAACCGAGAATCCTCAAGGTTCCAGAAAATGATCAGGGGAAGATCGTCGAGAAGATCAATGATGCCGGTGCCGAATCGGTCGAAGGCGATCGAGAAGTGAAGACACAGGTTTCGTTCAGGAAACCGAGTTACAACAACGAATCCGTCGACATGACCAACAAAATGGACTCACCGAGGTCCACTACTAAAGGAGCCATCCCTCAACTCGATGCAGCAGGTACGTTTAATTTTGATGAAGAAGATGATGAATTTTTGCAGAACATAAGTTCTCCTAGATTGAGGGATTCGTTCGAAAAGAAAGCCGGAGCCAACTGGGAAGAAAACTCCGGTCCCGGTGATCTCTGGAAATGGAGCCTGACCGGGATCGGAGCAATCTGTTCGTTCGGTGTCGCTGCTGCTACCTTTTGTATCATCATCTTCGGAACTCAACAGAGGCAAAAACAACACCAGCAGAACCAGAAACTGCTGTTCCAGCGTTACACCGATGACAAGGTAATCAAATTACATGACGGAATGTCTGTAAATTTCATGTTTTTAACTGGTCTGATAAGGATATAAAGCATGTTGATGTGAACATCTTTGTCTCCGTTATTACTACCTGTACAATGCAAAATAATTATTGAAAAGGATACCCATTTTATCATCATTTTAGGAGTCCAAATCCAAAAGCAACACCATTTCTTACAAATTACAGCAAATGGGGTTCCCCACTTTTAAGTAAATCTTGTGGTTTAAGTAACTTAAATTTGTTGAGATTGCAGACCGGGATGGATCGAGAGGGATATAGTTGTATCTGCAAATCTCAAATTTCTATATATTTTAGGGTTTATAAACTACTTAACTCAATGTAAAACTCTTTAGTTTTACCGTTTTAAGATAGTTAGATGAGTGAAAATAGATAACATATTTTTACTCATCCAATATTCTTAAATTTTTGTAAAACTAACAACTTTTTATATTGTTTAACAAGATCATATCCCTATATTTTAGATATTTTTTTTATATATTTTTATTAAAAATATGTTTTCGTATTATAAATTTATCCCGGTAACTTAAAATCTTATGTACCTCCCTAATTGTAGAGGATGAAACAAGTGGTTCATCATACGACAAAACTCAATGAAGCAATCTCAGCAGTTAGAGGGGTTCCCGTCACCAGAGCTCACATAACATTTGGTGGTTACTATGATGGTATTTGAAGCTATTGTCTCCCGGAGAATTTGGACCGTCCATCTGCTCGATCAACGGTTCTAAATATATATAATTAATCTAAATAGGGTCTCTGTTTGTACCTGGAAATTCTATAATTTTGGTGTGTTAATTTGGTGATATTTAAGTATAGTTTTCATACAGTGGGAGTTGATGTTAGTGAAATGTCTACAAGTTCAACACTTACTAAAGTATGTATATGATCAAATTCAGGAATATTTGAGGGAAGTAAATGTAGTAATATTTTTATTATATATATTTAGTGATTTCTTCTCTTTAATAGTTTGAAAATAGATTAAAATATTGTAAATATTAAAATGTGATAAAAATAACATTGAATCTTTGAATTAGACAATTTTAGACTAATTGAATAAAAAATCTTAAAAACTAAAAAAGTCAAATTCAATAATTAAATGTTATCTTATCCCTATTAAAATTATTAAAAAAGTCAAATCAATAATTAAATGTTATCTTATCCCTATTAAAATTATTTAAAAAGTCAAATTCAATAATTAAATGTTATCTTATCCCTATTAAAATTAATAAAAAAAAGTTAAATTCAATAATTAAATGTTATCTTATCCATATTAAAATTATTAAAAAAAGTTAAATTCAATAATTAAATGTTATCTTATCCCTATTGAAAATTAGATCCGGTGACACATTTGAAAGATAATTTAATTAATTAAACTGAGCCATGTATCTCTTTATTTATTGGGATGGATCCTACACAAAATCAAACTAATTGCCATTAAGTGCATAGACAAGTTCTTTATCTTCCTTCAAATTAAAATTTGTTTCAATGATCAATATATGGTATAAAGATAAAGGTATATTGCATTTTTATTAAGATTTTTTTATCTACGATATTACAAAATAATAATTAATCATTTGATTAAATTTTAATAAAATACAGGCCATAAAATGGACCAGCTTAAAATACACCAAATTAGTTGTCAAATGATAGACATTAATCTTATCTCCTTATTAAAAGCAAAGGGAGATATTTAACAAACAATGAAAAGGAAAAGAAAATGACAGAATGCACACTTAAAACCATCAAAAAAATCCCACCTCCAACAATTTTTTAATTAATTATTAATATATAATCTATTGATTAATTAATCCAAATCGAATACTGTAGAAACGAAGACGATCCTCTCACTCCAATGACTTTGAATAGTATATTTTCTGCATAATAATCAAATATGAGTGATTTAGGTTTGAATAGAAATCTAATGATGTGATTGGGTTTCTTGGAAGTATGTGTTGGATACCAAGAATCCTTGCACGCTGCTGAATATTGATGCAAGTTTGGTTTTGGCCATTGAATGAATCTTCAATTTATGAGTTTGCCCTCTCAATTTACTTATTTTTGGTTTGGTCAAATAATGTTGCTCAGACTTTGATTTGTATTTGTTGATAAAAACGAATTTATCTCATTGGTTGTTAGTTTTCTTTATTATTATTATTATTATTTGAATGGAAAATTGTAATCGGTGAGTTGACGATTGTTAGATGATATTTTTCTCTAAAAGAGACGAAAGCATAAAGAGAATATGAGTATGGAAAGAGAAGATGATGGAGAGGATCTCCTCTTAGTCGGGGATGATTATGACTAATTGTAGGTCATCAGGTCAAATTAATTTAGTAGTCTGATCTTGACTAATTGTAGGTCAACAGGTCTAAATCTAATAGTATGATCTTATATTTCGCTTTGGTAAATCACGTAAATCTATTAGAGATCTTGTCTAAATATTATTGTTGGTTCGAAGGTTAAGATATTTTTATGTCAGAAGGATATATGAATTCCTTGAAAGTTCCAGTAAATGAAGAAGCATATCTAGATATCTCGACTAGCAGAGAATTGGTAATTTCTGAAAATCATCTCCAAAAATATAACAATATTATTAATATTTTGTATCTAAATATCCGTGGATCCTTCTCCCCTCACTACTTTCAAAGAAACCATAGTTTGGTTAAGTGGAATTGAGGAGACAAATGTATTCATAAATTTCAAAACGTTTAATTCTACATTTATTTGCTAATACTTCTTTAGAGCAGTGATCAAGACTCTTTTATTTTTATTTTTTTCCCTCTCGGTTCCTAAGACTTCACCTTAATTAATCCAAGTTGATCCGGGTCGTACACTTAACTTTGGTGGGAGAGTCTCATAGCAAGAATTTTCTACATACACAAAGACTTAAACTCGAGACATGCAAAGCCTTTAAGAAATCCATCTCCAATTCTACTTTACGATAACCAAGACTCCAAGCATGTTTCAAAGCACCGTGTATCGCCCAAAGTTCCACTAGTAACGCCGGACACTTGCTTAGGCTTAGTTTGTTTTCACTGTGCAAGTTCTTTAAACCACTTATGTCTGCGCCACGCAGACCACGCGCAGACATTAGGCTTCGCAAACTGTTTGTTTTTTAGAAGGCAGAAGCTCTTCAAACGTATGTGCGAGCTCTTCTTGGTGCAGACATGGTTTATTGTCTTCAAAGGTCTTCAAACCTCTTCAAGAACAATTATAAAATATAGTTATTTATTAAAATAATTTTAAATAATTTAATAAGGTTATTTATTTTAAAATAAATTATTTTAAAATAAATTATTATAAAATAATTTATTTTAAAATAAATTATTATAAAATATGGATTGATTTATTTTAAATAATTTATTAGTATGGATTGATTTATTTTAAAATATGGATTGATTTATTTTAAATAATTTATTAGTATAGATTGATTTATTTTAAAATATGGATTGATTTATTATTGTAGTTGTATAGATTGATTTATTTCAAATAATTTATTAGTATGGATTGATTTATTATTGTAGTTGTATGGATTGATTTATTTTAAAATATGGATTGATTTATTTTAAAATATGGATTGATTTATTTTAAATAATTTATTAGTATGAATTGATTTATTTTAAATAATTTATTTGTATGCATTAATTTATTTTAAAATATAGATTGATTTATTATTATAGTTGTATGGATTGATTTATTTTAAATAATTTATTAGTATGGATTGATTTATTTTAAAATATGGATTGATTTATTTTAAATAATTTATTATTGTAGTTGTATGGATTATTTAAATTTCAGTATTGTAAAACTAAAATTATTTAAATCTCAGTATTGCAAAACCCTTTTAAGTTTAAAAAATCAGTTTATTTATATTTCAGTTCAATTTAGCAGTCTGCAGACGTTAAAAAACAAACAGTCTTCTTCTTGCAGACTGTAGACTTTTGGTCCACCTCCTCTGCTGCAGATGCCTGCAGATGTGGTCAACAGACTGCAAACCTTTTACCTCTGCAAAAACAAACAGTACCTTAAACTTCTAGAAAATTCAAAGAGGCACTGCCTTTCATTCTTTCTTTCTCTTTAGAGGTAAAACAGAATGTTATCCTCTTTAGTAGATTCGAGTTCAAACAATTACATATACAGGATATGTGTATAACATTATTAATAAACATAACAAAAAATTTTGAACAAATTTTATCTTATAATAACTAGTATTATTAAACAGAATAGAGAACTAAATCAATGACTGCCATACATTCTAATAGTTGCAGACATCCAAATGAATTTTTTTTTGAAGGATTCAGATGTTTTAAATTTAAATTAAAGTAGTATAGCTTCCGAATAAAAATAAATATAAAAAAAATCTTTAGGCATTTATAAAATGTAATTTGAGAGTTTATTTTAAATTTAAGCAAAAAATAAATATCATATAATAAATATCCAAAAAATTGTATTTAAATTAATAAAAGAAATCTGAAAAGGCATTCAAAACCTTTAAATGCTCAAATCTATAATTATTTAGAGTAAGTAAACTCATAAAATTTGACAATTAAAAAATAATACAATTAAATCATTATAAATATAATTAATTATAAAATACAACCCAAAAATAATTTGTTAATAAATCTAAGTCGAAACAAATAAATGGAGTATAAGGGTAAAAAATATTGAATTTAGTTTTAAAATGTAAAAATAATAAATTTATTTTAAATTTTAAATCTTGCATTAAATACGTTTTATAATACATATAATCTATTTAATTATAAAAATATTATATTTGTTTAACTAATTTAGGTGCTTTTATATTTTATAATTGGTTTAGGTTTCGAAATCTAATTTAAATGATTTTATTTCTTTGGTTTTCTATCATTGAAATATTGTAAGTCAAATAGAATCTGTAGCAATACTTAATCAAATGAAGCATTTGGTCTAGTGGCTTTGGTGTTCTTCCAACCAAGTGACCCAAGTTCAAACCTTCTCATATGCAAGTTATCTTTGATCTATTGTCTATCTAATCAAGAGGTGACATGTGTCACCATTTGATTGGATAAAAAATAAAATTTAATTAAATAAAATGAATTTTAAAAAAAAAACTCCAATTAGGACATGCCAATGTAACATGTGTCATGATCATATATTAACATGTGTCACCTATTGATTGTATAGTTAATTTATTAAATAAAATTAATATTAGGACTAAGTTGATTAAATGTATAAGTATTGAGGATCAAATATGTAATTAAACTAATTTTATTAATTGTTACGTTGGAGTTGACACAAGTCAGATGTAACATGTGTCATGATCATATATTAACATATGTCACCTCTTGATTGTATGGTTAAATTATTAAATAAAATTAATATTAGGACTAAGTTGATTAAATGTACAAGTATTGAGGATGAAATATATAATTATACTAATTTTGTTAATTGTCACGTAAGCAGTTCCGTTAAATATTAATGACAGATGTCTATATTGGAACCAATTAAATAGTTAAGTGGTCATATTGACTAAATTTTGAAAATAATGGCCATATTAACACCAACACTATAGTTAGGTGGCCATTCAATTAATTTACCCTAAATATAATTTATAAGGGGAAGTTTTCTTTAAATAATTCTAGGGTTTGATTTCCTTTAGTTTTCCCTCATTAGTGAGCAGCTCATATCTTTTCTTTTTCATCTTTGTTGATCGATGACGACATCAACTTTAACATTGATTTAACCGCTTATATTTTTATTTTTATTGTCATTTTCTTTTCTTATATCATATATTTATTTTTTTAATTTTCAATAAGTTTGCCTATATGACACGTTTTTATCTGTATTTATGACATGTTTTTTATATGCCTTTTGGATTGGTCTTTTTTCATTTATCTTTTTCTAAGGGTTGATTTGATATCGTCACGACTGATCAAGATGACGCTTATATGATATCTTGT